AGACAGAGAGAAAGCAGAGGACAGGGGATAATATTCCCAGGGGGACCTTAATGTTGGCTTTGTCTGACTGCTGTTGATGTAAATAAGATAACAGTTTTCATTACATTCATCCAGAGACATGTATCTAGTGCCTCTATAATTCCTCTCCAGGACAGGTCCACAGGGCTGGGACTGAAAACACATCTCTGTCACCGGGGAGAAGCTCACTGCAGTCCTGAGTGATCTCTTAGCGCCTTTCCTCCAGAGACCTCAATGAGGAAGGGAAGCACCAGTCTCCTCCTCCTACACAACTTCTGCCTTTTCCAAGATCCAATACCATTCCCTTCCATATAACTGCTAGAACAGCCCATCTCTTGAGCTTGGCAGAAAAGACCTCTAGGACAGTAAAGATCCCAGGTCGTGTAGCAATGTTAAGGCAAGTTTTCTACCTGGATCCTAAAATTAGGTGGCAATGAAACGTGCCAACCTGTGGATACAATACATCTGAGCTGGTCCCAGAAAACTCCAAAAGAGACTGAGTTAAAAGAAGCTGAGGTAAGTCTTCCTTTAAGGTACCTATTGGCTAGGATAGTGAATGCATTGGAAAGCTTTTCAGTGTGTTAGTGATAGTGTTGTGAATGAGAAAAAGGTGACAAATTACAGAAGACACATATTTCACCTTTTCATCCTCCTCTTCTCTCTCACCCACTGACTCCTCAATTTAGATCTTCACTGACCCCTGACTGCCCATCTGGCATGCATACCAGCCCAGCCTCTGGCTGCTTTACTATTCATTCCATCCAGAAAGAGCACACACCAACTGCAGAGACTTCCTTAGCCTGACGAAGGGGTTTTAAACACAAAAGCTTGGTAAAAAAAAAAAAAGTCCACCTATTTAAGTTGGACTAATAAAATATATCAGATTCACCCAAAGAACCTTTTCTGCCTATATTTCACCTTGTCTTTTTCTTAACAAAAAGGCTTTTGGTGGCTAGCTGATTCAACCTGGCTATTTTTTTGCATTTTCATATTGTGGCAAAACAGCTGGTCATTTCTATTTTACTGAAAATTCTTATTTTTTTATTGAAAAACTAGAAGTTATCAGCCAAGCACTGTGTAACATTAAAAAAAACAAACCTAGTGTTCTTTCTATGGACAATATTATCTATTTAATTTGTATTATTTTGGGGGATTATGTATGTGTTTTCTTAGCTTTGGAAACCAAGCAATGCATGTAAAAATATTTCTTTCATCTTGATGTTCCCCAAAACCAAATGACTAAGATATTGTGCATGCGTCTCTCAAATGTAATACAGGAAGGTCAAGACGAATTAATCTGTCCAGGCTTTATGAAGAACCCAGTCCTTTCCCTTCTGTGTACATGATGTTGGTGTTCTCAGAGCCACCAAGATAGTTTGGAGCACATTATTCAAAGCACTTCAGTACCTAAAGATACTGGTAGAAATCCAGTGAGATTTTCAAAATCATATTGGTTCCAACCTCCATTGAATGTATTCCTACTGAGTTGAGATTTGATGGAGTTAATTATAGGTTATAGGTAATGCCACTGTTCAGTTATGGTAAATGTGTCACACTTGTTGAAGTGTGCCATCTGTTGAACCTGCAGGTTGAAGTATGCCATCTGTTGAACCTGCAGGCTCATCCATCTGAGTATTTGTTGAGTACTTGTTCATCCTGGCATCCATAGACAGAAATATGATCTAGTTCAATGAAAAGAAAATAGGTTTATACACAAAAACACTCACACCACATTCCAATATTGCAGCCTCTCAGTCTAAGATATATGCATGTCTAAATGGGAAGCCACACTCCACTCCACTGTAAGGCTAAATAACACTTCCTTCCAAAAGGAGACATGAGAATGACAAGAGACGCTAGAAGGTTGTGCCAATATTAGCCCAACAGCACTTCTGCCAGTTGTTGTTATATGGACTAATGATATGGAGAAATAGCTTCATTGTGGAAAATTCAGAATTTCTACAGAATTGCTCTAGATTTATTCAGTCTGTCTACATAAGTTTCTAAGGGCTCAATCAAAATGTCCTTCGGTTTATTGTACCTTATCACACTGTGAGTCAGGCCCAAAGGGACTTTAAGCATTCCACCATCTATCATAGACTCATAGATGTTAGGGTCGGAAGGGACCTCAATAGATCATTGAGTCCGACCCCCTGCATAGGCAGGAAAGGTCTAGATAACCCCAGCTAGATGGTTATCTAACCTCCTCTTGAGAGCACCACCTCCCTTGGGAGCCCGTTCCAGACCTTGGCCACTCGAACTGTGAAGAAGTTCCTCCTAATGTCCAATCTAAATCTGCTTCCTGCTAGCAATGACTTACTTTCCTTGATTACCAGTCTCTGGGTCCCTCCTCAGAGCCAAATCCCCAGCCATTGCACTGTAATGTGGCCAAGGCCACAGCTGGCCAATTTTTCAATGAGGAGATCATGGGACACTAGATCAAAGTCTTTTTTAAAGTCAAGATATAAGATGTCAATCTCTTCTCCCTTGTCCAGGTGATATGTCACTCGGTCATAGAAGGAGATGAGATTGGTCAGGCAAGACCTACCCACAACAAACCCGTGCTGGCTATCCCTCACGATGTTGTCATCAGCTAGTTTGTGTAGAATGTTCTCTTTGATAATTTTTCCAATATCTTCCTTGGAATAGAGGTCAGACCAATAGGCCAGATCCCCAGATCTACTTTTCTCCCTTTCTTGAAGATAGGCACCACATTGGCCTTCTTCCAATCTTTGGGCATATCACCTGAGCACCACGAGTTCTCGAAGATCCGTGCCAGTGGCAGAGCTATGATGCCTACCAGCTCCTTAAGTACCCTGGGGTGTAAACTGCCTGGGCCAGATGACATGAAGGTGTCCGCCCCCTTAAGGGGTTCATTGATATGGTCTACAGCAGGGGTGGGCAAAGTATGGCCCACGGGCCAGATCCAGCCTGCCAGCCCATTCTATCCAGCCTGTGGGGCCTCTATAAATTTTAAAAAATTAATTTTTATCTGTCCCTCTCAGCCTGTCAAAGATGACAGGCAGCCAGCAGCAGCAGGACCCAGTGGCTGTGCAGCAAGGCGAACCTGGCTCCACCCCGCCCCTAGCTCCTACTCCCTCCCCACTCCCACCTTCAGCCCCAAACCAGAAGCCTCTGTGGCTTCTGGCCTCGTGACCCTGGAGTAGTTTCCTGCCCCCCACCATCTGAGTGGAAGGTAAGGTAAGATTGGCTGGAGGAGGAAGGGAAACCGCTGGAACAGCCCAGTGGCCAGGAACCCCATGGTGCTTCTGGAGTCAGGCTAGAAGTGTGGGGGGAGCAGAGGGAAGCGGCTGCAGTGGGGGGAGGGGGCAATTGGTGGCAGGAGTACGCGCCAGTCAACTGCTTCTCCTCACTGGTGCCAAGCCAGCTTGGCCCATCTCATCCCAAGCAGCACACGATGAAGCAGCATCTGGGCCAGCTTTGCTGCATGCCACTCAGGATGGGATGGGACGGGACAGGCAAGGAGAAGAGGAGGTTCAGTCAGCTGCGCAAAGTCCCACTCAAGACCAGTCTGACCTGGCCGGAGAGGCACACAGCTCTGTCATGCCTTCCCTTACCTCTGCCAGCCTGTCCCAAGTGGTACGCAGCTCAGCCATGGCTTGTCCTCACCGGTGCCTTCCAGGCTTGGCCCAGCCCGTCCTGAGTGGCACACGGGGAAGCAGCAGCCAGGCCAGCTTTGCTGTGATCGGCTTGGGTCAGGAACGACCCGGCTGGTTCGGGCACCAGCGAAGAGAAGCAGCAGCTGAGCCACATGCTGCTTCCCTGCACCACTTGGGATGGGTTGGCACCAGAAAGGCAAAGCTGTGGCTGAGCCTGTGCTGAGTAGCACGCGAGGGAGCAGCACAAGGCTCAGCTGCTGCTGCTTCTTTCAGGAGCTGACCCGGCCAGGCCCGTCCCAAACCAAGCAGCATGCAGCAAAGCCAGCCCAGCTGCTGCTTCCATGCATGCAGTGCGGGATGCAATAGGCCCGGCCGAGTCAGCACCAGTGAAGAGAAGCTGCAGCTGAGACATGTGCTGCTTGGGACTGGATGGACCAGGCCGGCGGAGGTAAGTGCGCAGCTTTGCACAGCTGTTCCCAGAGTCGCAGGGGCTCCTGCTGCACCCTGGGGGACTCCACCCCACTCGTGCTTTGCCCAGTGTGCACAGAGGCTGAACTGAGAGCCCCCCAAGCCCAGTGTCCCACCCCTGCCAGGCAGTATCCTCTCACGGGCAAGGCAGGGCAGGGCAGTTGCGCCCCATCCCACGGAGCTGTGTGCACCAGGCCAGACTCCACTGTGGGTGCCAATGGGGGCCCAGCTGTGGCCCAAGTCTGCAGAGCTCTGAGGCAGCCCCCACTGCCCTCCTGCCCCCGCCCCCCGCTCTGGCTGCCACCTTCCAAACGGCCTGGCTAGGCCAGCCTACCTGCAATGCCTCCCCATGCTCCTGCTTCTCCCCGCGCCTCTCTCTCTCTCTTCCCTCCATTTTCTCTTCCCTCTTCCTTCTCTCTTTGCTTTCTCTCTCCCCTCTAGCATGAACTGAACTAATGTAGCTGATGTTAACATGGAGTGTAATAATAGTGAAAGAGACTTGGGAGTGCAGAAGCATTACTGGGATGGCCCCTTGATCCCCTCGCCTCGGTGGCCTGTCTTTGGCATGAGCCCCCTGTCTGCCTCCCCTTCACTCCTCCACAGCTCAGAGCATTAATTCAAGGTGCCCTCAGAGACAACGAGCTAGCTTTTGCCCCCCTACTGTGACCTGGACAACAGCAGACTAGGTCCATGGTGGTACACAGCATGGCCACTCCCCTGGCACTTGCTCCGAGTGACTGGGCTTGGCTGCCTATCCTCCCTTAAGGGGGGTACACCCTGTTCCCTCACTCACAGTTGACCTCTTGGTGCAGATTGGGCAGCTGCCAGGGGGTGAATCCTGTTGCAGCAACACAACACAGCCACTACGTCCCAGGAGGAAGTTGGCCAGCTTTCATGGCAATTGCACTGTACGGGGCTTTGGTCCCCACCAGCTGGCCCCTTACCCACTAGGCTTCTGTGTATGGAGGGGCCGTGGAGAATGAGAGAATTCAAGGGACATCAAGGTAGCTGCTTCCAAGAAGGTAGGGGTGAGCTGCAGAGGCCCTGCCCAGTGCTCTCTCACACATCCCTCTTTCTTGTCCACCATGAAACAAAGCAGCTGAACCAGACTAGAGCACTGGGTTGTTTCTCTTATCATGTCTAACTCTGTTGTGTTCCTCAACCACCAGATAAATGCAAAGTCAATCACAGATCCCCCAGCCCCATCATCCATGCAAGTGGAAGCACCCTCTGAAGATTGGAAGCAAGAGAGAAACCTCTCTCTTTCTGTAGGTGTCAGGTTCCCCCAAGATTTTTCCCCTGAGCTTTACCTCCACACCCTACCCAAGCACACCCTTACTCTTTAAGAACAGAAACTTAGCCACTGCTGTGGACTGCACTGGGTTTCTCTTCTTTCCCTCCAGGACTTCTTTCCATGTGCCTCAAAGGGTGGTGACACTCTCTGCTCTGCCCCATGACTCCTCTTCCAGTCATCTCCTGCAGAGACTGGCCAGGCCTCATCTGGTGACAGTTGTTGAGATGACCTCAGCAGTGACCTAACAATGCTGAGCTTTGTGCTGGAAGGTGACCTCGTAGTAGAGGCCTGATGTGCTGTCTCTGGCTTGTCTTTTTTTATGGTTGGTTGTTTATTTCTCTGCTTCTCCCACATGTGGGCATACAGACTCCTTCCATTTTCAGTGGACAAGTCCATTCCCTAATGGACAGTGTCAAAGTCCTTTCGCAGTCCCTTTTCTCTTCTGCGGGGAAGGTGAAGATGCCTAAAGGTTCCACTCCAAAAAATAAAACCCCTGGTCAAATGGAGATATAACAACTCAGGGGATTTCTGGGGGATATTGCAGATACAGGCTCCAGCGAGACAGCAGACCTCCTGGCCAAAGGGTCAGGGCGGCAGATCACACCCTCACTCCCCCTCCGAAGGGAGTCTCCCACAATGAAGACTCTACATGTGGCCTTAGTGAGAGCAGGGATGGTAGCTGTGAGTGGTCGTCCCTTGCCCACAGAAACTGCCAGCTCTGCAGGTTCTGCTGGGACTGCAGAGGTCCATACCTGTAGCAAAGCTCCAGAGGGGCGCGGACCCTCGTATAGTGGGCCTTGGGGCCATTGACTACCTTGGTCCAACCCCCTGGCTGCACATCTCCCGGTCCCATGTGCCTGAATTGTTCCAGGCAGCCCCCGCAGCCAAGAGCCAGGGACTTTGAAGATTTTTAAGACCTGGGCTGACAAAACCTTAGCAAAAAGAAATAATGGCCACAAGCTAGCAGAGAGCAGATTTAGATTGGACATTAGGAAGAACTTCTTCACAGTTAGAGTGGCCAGGGTCTGGAACGGGCTCCCAAGAGAGGTGATGCTCTCCCCTACCCTGGGGGTCTTCAAGAGGAGGTTAGATGAGTATCTAGCTGGGGTCATCTAGACCCAGCACTC